TGACCGGTTTTTGAAATAAAGCAAAAATTAATTTTAAGAGAGGTTGACGTAATGCTCGATTTTAAGGGTAAATTGCGTGATTTAAGAAAACTAATTATATTTTTTAATGTTATGGAATTCACCGATAGCTTTTAGCGTTTTCAGAAATTTGGAAAAGCTTGTGGTTCCGGAAATATAAAGCGTCAAAAATTCAAATTTTAAAAATTTCAAGAGGCGATAACTTGAGAGGGGTTGGAGATGGAAATAAATTTTCTTGTAACAAAATGAACTATTTGTTAGTGTCTAAGAGCTGGTAAAATTCCCAAAACCTGGGGTTTAGAAGAAAAACCAGATAAAACAGATTTTATATAACAGTAAATTTTAACGGCCATTTTGTTTTTTTTTTTAGTTTAACTATAGTATAACGCGCTAGGGGAAACAAGCCACTGTCTTTTTGCGTTTGCAAAATTTCAAAAATGTTTATGGTTTCACTGCAATAAATAGTTAAAAAATGGAATTTTTAGGGTTTTGGGGTGATATGATTCCTGTTATGATGTGATAAAGGGGGGAGATAGATAATAATTTGGTTCTACGGAAATAAGTTTCTAGTAAAGATCTATGTACATATTAAATTTCAGCTTTCTATCTTTAAGGTTGTAGAAGTTTTTTAAACATGTCCACGGGCGGACGGACGGACATGACGGACAGTGCTAAAAACCAAAAATTTAGTTTACAGATGTTAATGAGAAAATTTTATGCTCTTCTCTTTTGACAAAAAGGTGTTTCAACTTGGAAACGTGCAATTTTACCTACTATGCAAATTTAAATAAAAGAGAATCAAAGTTTGTTCGTATGTATATTATCGCTGCATTCCGAAAAAATTGTAAAAACTCAAATTTCGTTAATTTCAAAAATAACGATTCAAAGTTTTTTTTTTAGTTTCTTTTCATTATAATGCACAAAGAAAATTAACATCAGGTGTAATTCAAAGTAATCCTATATTCTACAAATGAAAAGCCTTATAATATAATTAACAGCTTTAAACTACTAGATGTGTCGCATATCACATTTTAATAGCAATATTGAGCAATTTTATAATTCCAATGTAAAAGTTAATGGAAAATTAATTTTCTATTAATTATATTCTTCATGACTTTTACCTATGCTTTTACCAAAAACCAAAAAAACTTCGAAGACATCTTTCTTTCTCTAGTTTACTACGTTATTTACACTTTTTTCATTTCGCGTTTAGTACAATACCAAAAAAAATGTGACACTCATAAATCCAACGCGTCTAGTAGAAAAAGGCTAAAAAAAACCTAATTTTTCAGAAAGATGAACTCTGTATTAACGAGATTGAAAAGTAATATTTTATTAAATATCGAACTCAAATATTTTTTCCATTTATTTTACGTACATAATTCGGCGAAAAACAAGGTAAATATTACATTCATTATATTAATATCCTTACTGAAAAAATACAGTTAAAAAAATTACCATTATATAGAAAAACAAATTAAAACTTTTTAAAAACAAAGCAAATGAGATAATTTCAAAATATTTTGCTTCACTTTGATAGTTTTTGACAATAACCGACTATTTGCAATATTAAAAGTTTTAACATAGGGTATTCCTAAAAGATGTGTATATTTTTTTTACTTGCAGTTTTTTGAAGAAACATTCAAAAAAACCCTTTTATATGTTACACAACGACATTTTGAAATAATCTTTCAGTGTCATTTGTACTACATGCATACATTTGTACATGCCTACTACCTTTCTTCTTTAGTTTCTTTATAGTCAAATTCAAATAATATTTTATATAAAACTGATTTAGAAAGTATGTAGCATTTTAGAGGGTGAATATTTTGTCACATTTCAATTCTACATATGTATATAAAAATGTAGAAAAAAACTAAGGCAATCATAAAAAAACAAAACTAACAAAACAAGTGATAAATGAGTCGGAAAATCTAATCAGACTTTTCGCATATGAACGATAAAATAAGAACAAAATTTTGTTAAGAGAACGAAAAAATTTTTAAACTGCCTTACTCCAAGGTGTCTAATGTAGAAAAGATTTACGCTAATATAGTTTATTATTTTTTAATGAAATCTTGAAATTGAAGTTAAATTCAAATTGCTCAATTTATATATACAATATACATATATGTATGTATATACACGTACATGCATTTCAAATACCTCGTTAAAAAGTATTGATTATCTTCAAGGCAGGAAAACTTTCTTTATTAAGTAGATGGTGGGATGACATTGTAAATTTTGCTTATGAAAACGCATTTATTCCCTTTTGTATATATCCGCTTTATTCGAATGCAGTTGCTGGTTGATTTAATTTTACTTTTTTAATTTTCAAGTGTTATAAAATTATTCCAAAATTTGTATGTTATATAAATTAGAATTGTAACATGATATTTATAACAGAATATTGTAAAATATTTAAATCTTTGTGGCCTTGCTAGGGAACGGAGAGCATAAATTCAAATCTATTTCGTAATTAAATTTTTTAATTTTGAAATAAAAACGAGAATTAATTTTGAATAATTTTCATATCTAAAACAATTATTTTTAGTTGATCATTTTTCAATTACTGACTATCAGTAATCGTATAGTTTATAATTTCAAAAATCAGAGTTTTAGATTTGTTAATTCAAATTATAAACCCTGCTTTTTCCTTATGATACCAAACCATTTGAAATTATTAACTGTGAGTAAAAAAAATATTTCAACATTCTCCTTTATATCAAATAGATTCTTGGAAAACACACTTTTTTTTTGTATTTTTCCATTTTTGTAAAAATTTTATATTATTTTTGCGTTTTTTTTCGGTTTTAGGAATGCTAAATGGGATTTTGTTTGTCACATTATTGTGACATGTCATTCAGTTTTTTGGATGTGTTTTCTTTTTGTTTTGTATAGTGCCATAGTGCTAGGTAATTTTGATTGACAATATGACGTGCTTTTTTATATGTATGTGCATAAAAACATATGTAGCTACATATTATATAACATCCTGAAAAAGCCAGAAATTTCATTGTCTCAAATGAAAGTAAAAACATAAAAAAAGGTTAAAATGGAAAATTCAGATTTAACGAAAATGTATCACTTTAATAATATATATGTAGTATTGCAGAATAGTCACCTACATTTTTTTAAATATTTATCGTGTAAAACTGTAATACACTACAATGACATAAATCATATACTATGTATTTTATAATATACATAAATAGATAATTTTGAAGCATTTATTACATTCATCAAGGGTGTTTGTTTTGCTTAGATTGTTCGACAAATATATTTGCCTAATATAAAGGTACACATATTATGTATGTGTACCTTTAATAATTATTTATTTTTAGAGTTAGTGTCACTCTGCCGGTCCAACCCTCCGTCTCCCATTGTCTAAGTGAAATTATTATCCAAAACCAGTTTGTTTTTCCAAATTTTTGATATCGTTTTCCTAACATCGTAAGTTGAAGAAGTATGAAATTTTGGCAACTCTTAGACACAATTATTAATTTATTTTATTGGAAAAAAATTGTGCGCCTCCATTTCCTCCGAAGTTATTTCCTTCTTTTTCCAAATTTCTATGAAATTATAAAGTTAGCAGCAAATTTCGTGACATCAAATATCATAATTTATTTTAATTCACTTACTCTACAGTCAAAATCTACCATTCTGTTAACGGTTCTTTTTTATCCTAAATGCTTGCAATAATATATTTTTGCATATGCATTAATAAAAGTAATTTAAATGATTGAAGGTCACTTCCCGCAAAAATATGATTCAGCCGTTTAATTTTAATGGGCTGAATAATAACCAAAATATCATTCAGTCTTCAAAATTAAATACCAGAATCATATTTTGCGGTTAATGACCGTCAACCGAAAAAATTGTTGACGGTCCGCAAAAACATCACTCAGCCAGGGCTGTCGTTTGGCTTCGATCGGAGCCATTTGGCTCCGATTTGAAAATTTATGTCCCAGGCTCCTCCTTTTGGATTTTACCTACGATTTTGTTTTTTCTTTAGTCAGACCCAAAAACAATGTTCTTGAAAAAAATTTTCAGTTGAAAAATATAATTCCTGAATAAAAAAAAAACTTTTACATTATTTAAAAATTTTTTGACAAACCTTGGCTTACGAAATAATTTACATATACCGCTTTCTGCTAATTCAAAAGCCGCCACCTATTTTTTGTGGTCAAGTTAATCAATTAGGCAGTTAAAGTTTCAAATAATAAAACTTGGGAAAATTCGTCGACGTCAGCAGATAAAATATGTTTGTACAAAATTTTTTCAATAGATGATGATATTCCAGTTTTGAAATTTTAATTGAAGTCGAACAAGTATAATAACCGTCAACCATAAAACCGTTCAACTTAATTCTAGAAACGTACTCTAAGATCCTGTAGTGACAAGTACGAGTACACATCTTGTTATAATCATGTCTGCTTGACTCCGGGTTCTTGATGCTTTATTATACAGCTTTAAGTGATTCATCATTAATCAATATGTATATAACTGATCACAATTCTTGATCGATAACGTATGTACGTTTTTTTGATCATAATTAGATTATTACGAACCTATAAAGAAATCATCAAAAAACTTGTATTTTTGATCAGTAAGTCATAAACGAAAAAAAATTTTGATGATCCTAAAATTTGTATACATAATTGATTAGTGTATGACATTATTACATTATTTGAACAATTAATAGCTGGTACACTGTTTTTTGAGAAAGCTTTTTAAGTGCAAGTTCTACTTTACAAATGGTAGGTTTGGTTTCATTTAAATGTTTTTTTTTTTTTGTAATAATATCCACATTCTCTCAGGACTTAGACGAACTACTTGAGATGGACTTTTTTAAAACTTTGTCTAAAACAAATTTGTCACAGCTACATGTGAACGCATTTCATAAATTCATTTCAATCTCTCTTTTACAATAACGTTATAAACAATAACAGTTGTAAACAAAAACATAGCTCAGTTCCATTTCATTTAAATTAATTTTAATTTCCATTTCAAAAATAGTTTGCTTAAATACTATGGTTATTCAGAAATAAAGTTTTGCATTTTAGCAACTTTTACACAAATATCACCTTAAAATAACTAATTTTTGTTCATAACCTTATTAGTTTGAGCTAATGGTCTGTTTCCCTGCGACGACGCCCTATTTCCACCAATACCGGGCGTTCTATTGTTGAAATTACGATTTCCTTGCCGACTTCTTTGGTTAGGATTTCCAGTATTTCCACCTCCAGAACGATTGGTTTTCATATCCGTTCGATTTCTTGATTTTACTTGAGCATCCTCTTTTACCATATCAATAACTTCATCTGGTATACGAAGATACTTAATAGTGCTACCTCGAATATAACATTCTGGCATACGCCAAAATCTATCACCGTCCTAAAAAAAAATTAAGAAACATTCCAGATCTTTCCATTCCAAAATTAAAACTTCTTACTTTTGATGTACAAATTACGTCACGCAAATTGATATTCATCCATGTATCGCAACTTACTAAATGCCCATTATAAGTTTCTCCATTTTTTAATTCAACTAACTAAAATGTAAACAAAACGAACACTAAACTTTTAATAAAACAAAACTTTCTATATTTACCATCGGATGACTTTGTGCCGTTTTGAGCAAGGATAACGGAAGCTAAAAAATAAATGCTTTTTAAATAGCCCTTTTTGGAAGTCTTTAAACTCACCATTTTTATTTAATTTCTGAAATAAATACAGATCCAAATTGTTTTAAATTCTGCCCTCACTTATTTATTTACTATAAAATTATTAAAAAAACGTTTGCAAACTGACATTTTCCTGTTACTTAAATGACAAGGCCAGTGCTGCCATAATAGTGTTTTACAGAACCAAAGGTTTCTATCCAAGGGTTTATATGTGCAAGGTTAGTTTTAATTGTAGCAGTTTTTTCTGTTAAGAATATTAGAACAACAAAAAAGCTTGACACTAACCCAAAGATAATAATTATAAAATAAATTTTATTGTTTTTTTTTTGTTTGTAATTTTATTTCTAAACTTTTTTAGTTATTTACGCACTTTAAAAATATGGGCGCAAACTATGATATTTATTATACGATACAAAATTACTTTTCGTATAATAAATATATACATAAATTTAATTTTATTATCAACATAATTACATAACATTATGTATGTTTAAATTACAATTTTTATTTTGGTTTCTACTTTACTATTGCTTTACTATACTCGGCTTAAAAGTGCTTAAAAGTTTTGTAATTTTAATATTTTTAGTCTTGAAAGGTTTAAAAAATAAAGAAAATGTTCTCAAGTAGATAAATTTTTTATTTCATATTTTGTGGCAAAATAACTGATTTATTTTTCAATTAAGTTATTTTGAAATATTACCTAGGTTAATAATTTTTTAATGGAAAAACATTAAAAAATAATTGAAACATATGAACGGAATATGGAACGAAAGATGATTTGATTGGCAGGAATTAAAACACCTGTCTCATATAAAAAAGAGAAAAAAAAACTTTAAAAATAGAAAACAGTGAGGTAATTTCTCAAAATAAAATTTCTTATATCAAACAGACGGAAACTTTTAAAAACTTTATAGAAGAGGTGATAAACGTCAAATTTAAAAAAGTTTTGAAAAAAAATTATTGTTGAAAAAAAATTTTTTTTTGAAAAATAAAACCTTCTAATCTAACATAACCAAGAAAACATACATATGTTTTGAGAGCTTTAAGATTTTGAAAGTTTTTGAAACACTCTATTTTATTTAAATTGAGAAAATGAAAAAGTCATCTTTTTCTACCGTTTTTGTTCAAAAAATATTATACCGGAAACGCATACAAAAACTTTATAAAGTTTTTTCCAAGTTTTATAAAGTTTTTAAAAACTTTCTTATACAACACAGACCTAAAATATAATTAAGTTATTTATTTATTCAGTGAAAGCGGGGTTTTAATTATTATCACAAAGCGCATAACTCACAAGTAGCATTTTGGTATTATTATGATTTGATAGTGACAAAAATCAACTTTTAACAAATGCACAATGGCAGCACTGTTTTCAGAATGTCATTAATTTGGCTGGCGCTTGGCAAACACAAAAATAAAAAATAAAAAAAAGCCAAGTGAAACGTCACCTGTGTCTAAATAAAAATATTTTTTATTTTAAAATAAAATATTTTTGCCATATTTTGCAATTTGTACAACATTTATTGCGGTTTTCACGAGTATTTGAGAAATACAATTCCTATTCATAATGGCCAGCACATCAAGGTAAATTAATATTTGCTACATTTGCTAAAAAACTGCGTCTATTATACTTGGTGTGTGCATTTTGCATTATGAAATAATGGATGAAATATCGGAAAAGAACTTAAAACAAATTATATTTTATTGACTTACAGGCCAGACATGTCAAATAAAGTAGTTTGCTATGCTCACCCAGAGGCACCCCTTATAGAGGACTACAGGTAAAAAAATTCTCATTTTAAAGAACTAAAGTAATAGAATAAAAAATTCAAGAGCTGGTGATATGATTTGTTCTGAATGTGGCTTAGTTGTCGGTGATCGAGTGATTGACGTAGGCTCAGAATGGCGTACGTTCAGTAATGAAAAGAGTGGCGTCGACCCCAGTCGTGTTGGTGGACCTGAAAATCCTCTGTTAAGCGGAGGAGATTTATCGACTATGATTGGTCCAGGGACTGGTGCTGCATCTTTTGATTCTTTCGGAACTCCAAAGTACCAGAACCGTCGTACAATGAATAGTTCAGATCGAGCTTTGATTTCAGCTTTTAAAGAGATATCTATGATGGCTGATAGAATTAACCTTCCAAAGACAATTGTTGATCGAGCTAATAATTTATTTAAACAGGTAACGCAAAGTTACATAATTGCAATCTTACCTTCCATGCTTAATTTAAGGTTCACGATGGCAAAAATTTGAAAGGTAGATCAAACGATGCAAAAGCTTCTGCATGTCTATATATTGCATGCCGGCAGGAAGGAGTTCCAAGAACTTTTAAAGAAATATGTGCAGTTAGCAAAATTAGCAAAAAAGAAATTGGTCGATGTTTCAAACTCACACTTAAAGCATTAGAAACTAGCGTGGATCTTATTACAACCGCTGATTTCATGTCACGTTTTTGCGCTAATTTAGGTACGTACAACAGTTTCGCTTTTGGCCAATGGATATTTTTTGTTAATATTAAAGATTTAATATTTTCAAAACAATTTATAATATTTCAGGTCTTCCTAATATGGTTCAAAGAGCCGCAACGCATATAGCTAAAAAAGCAGTTGAAATGGATATTGTACCTGGACGTTCTCCTATTTCGGTAGCAGCTGCCGCCATATATATGGCATCTCAGGTATTTTAAATCAGTTTCATAAATTTTTTAAGTCTTACACTTTATTTGTAGGCGTCAGAACACAAAAGAAGCCAGAAAGAAATTGGTGACATTGCTGGTGTGGCTGATGTTACAATTCGTCAATCGTATAAATTGATGTACCCGCATGCAAATAAATTATTTCCAGAAGATTTTGTTTTCACTACATCGATTGAAGACCTTCCTCAGATGTAATATATATTTAATTATAATTTTCTTTTTTTAATATTAAGACTGTAGATTTACATACATATATTAATTTGTTTATAAAATCTTTGATGCTAATTTTTTCATTGAAACTTTTAATAAAAGTAAAAAAGTTAATATTAAAATTAATAGTATGACTTTTTAAATTACCAACATTCTAATCAATAGTTTACGGTAACAACATTAGTAATTTCTAGTACTTTTTCAATTACTACATTATTAAGCTGAATGTATTTATGTCTGAAGCTTTTTTATTCCCAAATCTGATGTTCTATTTTATCTTATTTTTCGGAACTGTTTTTTACAAGTTTTAATGCGAACACTGTCATGTTTAAAGGCGAAAGGAAAGTACATACCAAAGCTTAATTTTGATATCACAAATTTAACAATATTAAAGAATTTCGTTTCTTTTAACACCTTGACGAAAATTCTAATATTTTTGGTTAAGGAAACAAATTTCAATTACGGTCATTAATATTTAATTTATTTTATTGTATATTATTTTTTAATATAAATTTTTCAATTTTATAATAATATATGATTTATAATAATAAAACAAAAATTTATTGTATAATTTATTATCATTTTGATATACATGCGTTAATACCTCCATATTTTATAAATACATAATGATAATAATAATAGTAATAATTAAGGAGATTACGTAAAAGTTTTGTCACTTAAAATATACTGTATAATAGAATTTGTTAGTATTCACTTTTAATTTTTTTTTTAAATTATATTTCTACAATTAGAATTAGTTTCTATTTTTTCATAGTTTAAATTTTGCAATTTTGATATTTTATTTTTGATTTTTTCCAAATTGATATTTTGCTTAAAATATAAAATAAATATTTTTTAAAGAATTGAAAATTTCATCGCAAATTATGTATAAATCCTAAGTTTAAAAATTGTTTCGCTAGTAAAAATTGTATAAAAATGTAAAATTGTTGCTTGTTTTTTCTGGGCAGTTCTCGCAAGTTTCGTTTGTATAAAATTTTTATTTTTATTAAAAAGAGTTTAACCAAGAACTTATAAAGTTTGATGATAATTAAAAATATAATTGTTTTATATTCGAAAAAATATAAAAAAAAATTAAAAATTATTTGAGAAAAAACTTAAAATTTGCAACGTTGGAATTATTCGATCTTGACATTACAACAATGTAATAATATTAAATTTATGAAAACCCAAGTGCTAAATCAATTTTAAAGAACTTAGAATGCAATAGAACTGTAATGCAAAATATAAACTTCGTGTCATCTAATAACTATAATAATGACGTCGATAATATGAATAATAAATTAAATCGAAAACTTAATTTCGAATATACACACGTAATGTGAAAACTTTTTACAACAAGATATGATTTTTTATTTAAATTATACGAATAATTTCTAAAAAACGAGTTAATTAATTTATTCATGTAAATACAATCTAAATTTAAAATAAATAAAAGCTCAACAGTTATACATAGCTAAAATTTGCTAACATAGTAAAATGGTAATACAAAAAAAAATTTTTTTTACAACCTTTGATAAAATGACTAGATAGTCTGTATAGGAAATTCATCAAAAATAATCTTTTTAAAAAAATAGATTACATTTAGCACTATTTTTACAATACAAAATTAAGTTTTCCTTCTTAACCCGCATTCCCAATTATTTCTGTTTTACAAAACTTATCAGCCATTATTCCTATAACATGCTCTAATTTAGAGTGACGTTCCTCAGATGAAACTAATGCACCTTTGCTGCCCCAAAGAAATTTAATATGAAATTCGGTCCTGAAAATATTTTGATCATGTGAAAAAAAATTTATGTACATATTATGTACTTTAAAAAATGGAGAAGCATATAATACCTAAACGCATCACTTAATAAATCATCAAGACGACTTTTTGCACTTTCTAAGACTATTTGAGCATTTCTTCGGTATAACGAAATATTTTTAGTAAAATTTCGAGCTGCATCTAAGTGAGAAAATAGTATTGAAATACCAAAATCATCAGCATTTGACTCCCAGTTTGTAACACATGGAATTACAAGAGACGATTTTTGTTGCGGTGACTTCATCGTTTGGGTATTTGACGCTGTTTTCGAGTTTGTTGTTGTTGCCATTAAAATGTCATCAACGGTCCTGTCCCGCAATAATATATATGGTAGTAAATGAGGAACAGTTGTGTTAGGTGCTTGAGGGTTTGAGCAGTCATTCATGCTCTTTAATGTTGGTCGTAATTTCGCTTCGAATGTAAACGCACTGTCTGTAAATTTTTGTCTTAGTATATGCCAAGTTTGCTCAAGTTTTTGTATCTGAAAGTATTTGAAATTGTCGAGATTTGCATTCGATGTTTTAAAAACACACAAAACTACTTACTTGTGGCATGCAAAGTCCTAACATTATTGCACAGAAACCAAATAAGTTTCCAAGGGCCGTCTTTGTTTCGATAGCTATTTGAATCCATTTATCTAATATTTCAGCTCTTTCTAAATCATTTTGGCAAGTCATTATGGTAATTGCAACTAATAGCTTAATGCATTGAGTTCTTTCAATTAAATCGTTCCTAAAAGTCTCTCCGTGGGGAAGTGTAATTAATTCAATGCCACTGCAGTTAAATAAAATATTGTCTTTTTCGCTGGATGTAAACTCTGAAGTGCAAATGTCATCCCCAGAAGTAAATGATTTTAAGTCATCGAATTCACCTAAAATCAAAAGCACGTCTATGCGTGTTAAATGTTGGGCTATTATCCTTGGTCCCGTCTCAGATAGCATGATTCGAAATGTGTTTAAAGCATCACTGTCTAAAGGGTTATTTTCAACAGCCGGTAACAAGAGTGTATTAAAGTTTTCTAAATCAAATTTTGATAACTGAAAATAAAGCAAATAAATTTTTTGAAATATTTAAATAATAAAACCGAATTGATATAATTTGTTTTACTTGCTGATATATAGGAATATCCATGCTAGCCAGTTCTTGTTCAGCAGCTATAATGTCAAATTCATTAAAGCTTTTTAAAGTCATTGATGATAACGAGTTAGTCATGAATCGAGGATTTTTAATTATAACACCCCGGTGTGGCACATGACCTTCAACAAGAAGATCTCCTGGGGCTGAACTCTGAGCCGAATCACCAGACCCATTGCCAGAATCTGACCCACTAGCATGATAAGAAGCGACACGATTTAATGGATTTTGTTGTTCTAATGGTAGTTCTTTTATAGATTCACGTTTTTCCCTTTGAGTCGGAGTAATTTGGCTATTGTTTATATTATTGATGCTTGTACCAATTGGCCTTGTCGGCTTTGGAGGAGGACTAGGGGCTTTTTCATCCTTGTGCTTATTTTGCTCTGCGCAGGGAGTTAATGAAGAGTTACTTGTTTCACGATTTAAACTAGATGTCCTCGAACTATTCATTTTTAATCTACTTGAGGTCATTGGTCTAGGTAAAGAATGTGAGTGAGCTCTTTGGCCGTTACAATGTCTAATAACACCATCTGCGCTGGAAGATTTTTCATTAGTTGATTTTTGAATATTGCTGACGACCGTTCCATTAGTTTGAATTATCCCGTCTGCGCTAGAACTTCTTTCATTTTGTGATGCTATTTTTTTAATTTCTGTATTCAACTGCCCTTGTTGCTGTTTATCTAGAGAAATACCATCGACGCTGCAATATTTGTCGCCATTTTGAGAATGGATTGATTGTAGTGGAGTTAAAGACTGAGATCTTTGTTTTTTTGATGGCAGACGTGGTGGTGTATCTCGTTTTGTTCTTGGTGGAGAGGACATTGGACTGCGGTGAGTTGATACGGTATTGTTATAGCTGCCTTGCTGATTATATGGATTAAAACGAAGATTTGCGATTGAAGGTGAATTAACTGGGCTTATTCCTCGTATACCTGTCAGAATTTGATTATGCAGTTGGTTACCTATAAACTTATTGCCGTAAAAGGATAATGGGTGACTTCGATTACAAGGATATTGAATTCTGGCTCCTGATGCTGCAGATATAGGTTTACCTAAGTCAGAGAAAAGAAAATATTTTCATTGCATAATGGTACAATAACAAGACAAAATACAATTACCTGATCCTACATAGAAAGTAATAAGATCTGGGACAGTATCATAAGCGTCTTCCTCGAATTGATATTGAACTCTTTCATACACAGTTTCCGGTTGAATTAAAATCTATACATATTTAAATAAACGGTGTTTTTCAATACTTATAAGAACAAAATTTCTTAATCTTTAATCCTATACCTTATGAATTACAAAATGTAAAGTGACTGATTTCGATTTACAAGTTAAAACATAATTTCCGGGCTGAGATGCACAATCTCTCACTAGAAAATCTCCATCTTTTTGTACAATTTCTTCGGATCTTTGACGTGGTATTGCGCCATGATACCATGCATGTGATCTTAAATCTCGTGAGTCTAAACTTAATTCCCATTCCAGTGCCTTCTTTAAAACCAAAGCTTCGTGACCGATTTCCAATGTTGGTGTTGTTGTTGTCGAATCCATGTCCACAAGATCTCCACAACTTTTACTCTGCTTAGTATTTTCTGGGTTTAAAATTTCATATCTTATACATTGGCATATTTTTTTCAAAAAAGAAAGAAAAAAAAAATAAAAATTATTAAAATTTAGTGTTTTTTTTTTATTAGAAAATTTATATAATATTTTGTATAAAAAAAAGTTTCAAATCAAAGTAATAGAAAAATCAAAAGCTCTATTGGTGATTATTAAACTCTTTCTGTATTTTTTTATTTTCCTTTTCTACTTTCATTCACTCATTTTTAAATTACTTTTTGAATAAAAAAACTTATTCTTTCACAAAGCCAATGTGCTTTCATAATGTACAAAAAATGCAATGAGATGAGCATGGAAATGTCATCATCACATAGTACACAAAAGAAATTGTAACCGATAAGGAGGAAAAATACGAAAAAAGAATGTGGATGGAACAAAAGTTTTTTAAACAGAATAAAATAAATATAAAACTTCCACAAGGATATAATGAAAAAGGCTTTAAAAAAATGTTATTTAAAAAACTTATTCATAAAATAATGGATGAACTCCAAAATATCACTTCAAAAAGTAATTTGTTGTTTAAGAGTCGTAGACACACTAAATATTTTGAGAAGAACAGTAGTGTCATACGATAATGTGTTTCAGTTTTTACTGCAATGGTTATACATAGTTCAAAAGCCTGTAACCACATTTAAATGATTTCAAAAGACAAAAATAAATACATATTTATTTTATAATTTGAGTTAATATTTTAAATAAAGGTTACAAGTAATTTGTTAAATTTAAAGAAATGATAGAATAACTTTACCGTTGATTAAATAAATTCCATCTACTTAAGCTAACATTAGTTTGGAAATATTTAGTCGTCTATTTATGGTATGTTTTCAATGTACCTACTACGAAGTACTAACGTAAATATGAAGTTGTACGAATACATGCATAGATACTTTATACTTTGAATGAACTAAACTGAACCCTATGAAAAAAATTTATGTTTGAATCTGCGTCTATATTTTTTGGGAGTGCAGTACAAATTCTTTACATGTTTTGTATTATTTACATTACACATAAAATATATACATATAAATTGTTAATTGAACCCGCATATTTTAAAAATTTTATATATGTACTTATACAACGCAAAGGTCGTTTTGACCTTTACTCACATCATATATACATACACTGGCTATAGTTCTTATTAAAAATTAATTATTCAATGAATAAATATGGAATTTCATTCTATGAAAACCTTTAGTAGATATATATACATATATATATATATATTTATATATATATATATTTATTCTAGGCTTATAATGCCTTATCAGCTTGATTTAATTACTTAACTTGTAAAAATTCTTTGTCCATACAAGAAAATTACTAAAACAATAACATGCTTACATTGTGCACTTAAAACTGCTTCATTTTTTTGTATCTTATACATGAAAAATTTATAATAATTTCTTGTTAATGAATGTCTATTAAAGTTATACGAAAACTGCTATGGCCATATAGTATATATGTATGTAACTATAAAATATCACTTGAATTAAAAATTTGATTCTCCTTTGCTTTGAGAAATAATAAAGAAAAACACTTTGCTCATTGCATTTTATTGTTTTTTGGGTTTTTTTTTTTTTTTTTTTGGTTTAAATAAAGGTTTATAGTCATAAAAGAGCTCAACTGGTGCCATTATTATTTCTTCATTATGTTTTTATTTTTTAAAAATATATTGAAGTTATGTATAACATGCGTGCGTACAATTTTATATAATATATAAGTGCTTACATGATATTATATAATAATTGTAATTCACCTGTACATTAGTCAAATAAACAAAAATAATAATAAAGTACAAAAGGTACATTTATGTATTGTTCTTATGTGTATGATATACATAGGTCCTTTATACCTTTTACATATTTTTAATGTTTTTGTTGTTTTATTAATATTCCGTTTTTATATAGGTATCCATACCTCCAACATAATTACATACACATAATAAGTTCAGAATTTAGGCAAGTATATATTTATAGCATAAATTACTGGAAAATTTCATGACGATAAGAAACTTTTAAGGTGCACCCAAATACAATATAAAATTTTTTCCTTTGAGTCATGTTTGTGTTGTTTTACATAAAATTATATTAAAGAATAATAACACTTAGTTTTTGCATATTAAACAAAACAAATTGAATTATTTGAGCTCCCAAATTGTGAAAAAACAAATAAATTAAGTATCTATATACTTGTACAAGGCAAAACTAAAGTAGAATAAAGTATATCTACAAAATATTATTAATATTTATTTGCAAAAAAATTTTGTCATTTTAAATTGTTCTGGTTTTTATGCTTTTTTTTCGAATATTTAAAAGCTATTTACCGTCTTACTATTACATATTATAAGAATATTTATTGAGCCACAAAATGTAGGAAATCATTTCTCATCGTTTACAAGGAGTTATAAAAGAAAAAAAGCACACTCTCTAAAAATCTTCCATTATCCTATGTATAAAAAAAAGATAATTTTGTAGCTGTTGTTTAAGGACTTTCTAATATTTAAAAAGATTTTTGATTTTTATTTGCTTTCATATAGAAAATAAGATAATAATATAAATTCTGCATTCTATGTACGATTTATAAGAGCCTTTATAATGTTATGGACGAATATATGTGTTTGTTTATATAATATAAACTGATACATAAATATATTATTCAGAGATATGTATTTAATATATTACTATACACTAATACTTACAAAAAATAACACTACCATAAAGAACAACAATAAAAACAAATAATAAATATTTGAAATGATAATGACAGGATGTAACAACATTAAAGTTATAACAAAATTAATATTATAGCAAAATAATGGCCCAGAATATAATTAACCGTACAATTTCCTTAGTTTCTTTTATCGTAGAGTTTCTTTAAATCTATCATTAAAGTTTAGCTTTTAACAAGGACCCAAAATTAAAACTGAGATATGATCATTTCTTTTAAGAATACTTCGATAAATTCGATAAACAACTAAATCCTATTCATTTTTGTATGGTAACGTATATATAAAAATTAAGTTGTTTACATTGAGTTTTGTCGTTGCACAGACAATATTTATAAGAGAGACGTAATTTATTTTAATTTTATTATAGTATTACTATACTTAATATGATTGTATAGTACACCCAAACATGACTTTATGTTGAATTTCACATACATATTAGTTTTTAATAAATTTTTGATAAGTTCTTTTGAGACATAAACATTTTTACATATTACAAATATTTGTTAGGGGGTACAAAATCTGTATTGATTTTACAGATTTTATTATATTGCATCTTGTTGAAAGTTTTTTCAAAATTATTACTTTTTTCTAAAATTAATGCATACTTCATATATATATGTAAAAATAAATGAAATGCGCAACATGTAATTGAATTACTTTCTTAACAATAATTAATTGTAACAGTGCCATTTTCAATAACTTTTTTTTAATTTCTATTTTAAAATGATTGCCAAACAAAAACCAAGAGCCATTGCATAATGACATGCTATGACATTACATTAAGGATTAATAAAGTATTTTATGATAAACGCTTCTATGTCATGGGTTTATTATAGATGATTGTTATTTATGGAAAATGTCTTATATTTAGATAACTTGTTCATTATTAGCTTTATTAATTTAAGTAATGTACAAGTACATATATTTTGCCTTTGTGCATAATTTTTTTAATGATTGCCAAAATAATTGAGTAACTTTTGTTCGTTATTATTTCAGTTGCACGAAAAATATCATACTTGTTTTTTTTTTTTTTTATTCATTAAAATTTAAATATTTATATAAGAATTTGTGAAAATTTAATTTTATACGTTGAATTTTATACGTTAAAATGAATAAGTTGGCTATGTCACTTTTATTAGCTTACACTCTAGCTAGACTGAAGCATCCATATTTACATTAAATTCATCTCATATACATAATATATATATGTAATTATTATAATATGTGTGTGGGTATATATAATGTTATGTTATTATTGTGGGGCATATATGTACATATATATTATTATAATATTATATTTTGTATTTATACATACCCATACTTGTAAAGAACTTATGAAACTTTTTGTTATTGTTCTCTAGTTAATATTATATTCGCGTAGAATCCTATATACATATATTGCTACACATTTATATACAAATGCATGCATATATACATACATATATACTTTTTGCATTTGCTTTATTCTACAATTTCTACGATATTTATTTTTACGCCCATTTTCATGCAATTATTATACCTGTAGTTAAAATATAGAATATAGATAAATCTGGGATTTCAAAATGATTTTTCATATATTCCAATTTCGTATAGGTACTTTTAAATAAAATTATATTACATTAATTAGATTTAATATGAATTATTTTATTGTTTTCTCAATGCTAATTTAATAAGCATTGATTAAGTATTAATTTCTCAATGCACATTAAATTTAATTGTGGATTTAAAAATTTTTTCTTTATATTTGAATATAAATTTTTCCAATACAAAAAAAGGAACCACCCGCTTTTACTTAGTTAAATATATGGAATATTTTACTTTTTTTTAAATAATAAATGAAGAAAAACATTTAGTTTTAATTTTTTAATCACTTTTTTCGGTATTAATTCTTTTTATGATAATTTGGAGGAAAAAATTATTCACATTTTTTATTTAAATATTCCCAATTAAATTAAGTATACACATTATAGATGAAACAGTATAGAGAGCGAAAGGGAGAGTATGAGTAAAAAAGGTACTAAAAAAAAACTTTGAAACGATATGCCGAAAAACTTCTTATTTCTATATGATGAATGGTGACTTTTCTACCAAACAAACCAACTCGAACTGAAAATCTTCAAATTTAATTGAGTATCGAACCCCTTTTTTCTCTGTTTGCCATTTTTTATTCACAGAATATAACAATAACAAAATATAAAAAATTTATGAAAAGGGACTAAAAACAAAAAAAAAAATTTTGTATACATATGTACGGATGTATGTATCTAAATGAAAATGAATATGTATTACCGGCTGATTTTACAGTTATAGAACCCTCTCTCTTTATAATAGAGTACGAAAAATAAGTATGCAAAAATTCACTGAGAAAATTTCCCCATGTTATTATCACATGGAAATAATTATGTTTCATTATTATTATAACGGTTTACGTTGTATAAAACATTAAATCATACGCATGCATATGCATGTATGTACATTTGTAAGTATATGTGATTGTAACATACACTTGTATTATAAATTTTTTTAACGTAATTATGCACGTGTATTTTTTTACGATACCATACGCAACAGAAAACAAAAATGTCGTTATATTACCACAAGGACAATTGTACGAGAGTTCTAGAAAATAGAGTTCTTGGTATAACGTGTGTGATATTTTTCTCTTATATTTTGTACCTATTTTTGATTAGAGGCCAGGGGTACTCACTATCTTAGGAAAGAAATATTATTTTATGTTTTAATTTTATATTTTTTTGCTATTTTAATTTTTTCTTTAAGTCTTCATTGCGTTAGCAACGAGTGGTTTTTTATGCGATATTATGTAATTACGATTAACATTGTAGAAAATAAAATAAATTATCTGTTTTTATAGATTTACGTTATAAAAAAAGTACGATATTAACGTAACATTGAACAAATTGTTCTATTAGTAAAGTATTGAAAATAGTTTAAAGGAAAAGGAGGAAATTATTAATGATTTGATAGTATGTTACAACAAAATAATATTATGATGGTATATTGATATTTATGTATGCATGTGTAATGTGTTTATATAGTTTTCTTTTGTTAGGAAAAAAATTGTAAAATTATGAATTATACGGTATAAATGAAAACATATAGAGTAGTAAAACAACACACAAAAAAAAAATGGAAACTATACGTTAAAGAATGAAATATTGTTGTTGTTATGCATGATTTATTTGTACTTTTTTTAGTACTCAATTAACATATTATCTGCAAGGACAAAAATATTTTATTGAAAGGGAAAATAAGTTTCGTTGCAATAAATAAATTAAACCGTATAGAACAGAAACAACTTCTTATGTACCAAATTCATTTAATTTGTACTACTGTAAAATAACAATTAAATCAAAAGCAGTAATTTGCATAGTATTTCAAAAAGAACTTAATACTTAATATCGTAGTAAGCTACTTGTCTAATTTTTGAAAACCAAGATTAAAAATAAAATTCAAAGTGTTTTTGACTTTGTTGTAATCTCTTCAAAATTAATATACATACAATTATCGGAAAATTTTAGCAAAAATATGAAAAATTATCGATTTAAATTTTTAAGGAGTTCGATGATGGGTAATGATAAGCACAAAATATACGAAGAAAAAAAAATGTTCTCTTTTTGTTTGTAAACCCCAACGCAAAATATAAAAAATATAAAACAAAATAATGTTAAATTAGGTCTTTTTGATAAAGAAAAAAAAAAACCAAAGAAAGTTCTAGTGCGCAAAATCAAAACAACGAAATGGATATAAAAGGCATGAATATTTTTTGTGAGGATTGAAAAATACAACAACCCAAAGGAAAAAGGATAACACAATAAAAAATATTAACAATATTTGCAAACATTATACGGGAATTTTTTATAGAGTAGTTACCAGAAAAAATAGAAAATGATTTCCAAATTCAATACATTTAATATTCAAATTGAATGGAATACTGTTAGTTTTTTTTCGTTTTTGAATATTTTGGAAAGTATTATAAGCCTTAAAAATAAGACATTCTTTATTTATAATATTTTTTATTTGAGAGTTTTCTTTATATGTATGACTTACATTGATTCTGTTTTAAATGTTTCTTCTTTAACATCATTAGATATATTCGCTGTGCTATCCTTAGTTTTAATACTAGTTTCACTATTTTGTCTCTTTGGTGACGATAATCCATTTTTTACATTATTTTTATTGTTTGCTCCAATTTCTGCTATACTATGTCTACCATTATCCGATTCAGATTTTTTTGATCTAGGAAAGGTTAATTTTCCTAAATGTGTAAAATATATGAAAGAGTAAGAAAATTCCCGATTTTTTAAAATTATAAAAATTTATATAGTTTGTAATTGTTATTAAATAAAAATTATATTTAAATTAACTTCAAGTAAAAAGCATTTAAATAAAAAATTATTTTAAATTTGATATTCTATAATAGAATTTTATTTTAAATGTTTTAGAATTTTGTATAATTTATTAACATTATTCAAATTTTATTAAAATGTAAAATAGTTTGTTAATGTTTAAATTCTTGTAAATCAGAAATGTAATATAAGAAATTTTTATTTAAATACTTAAAGTATTGCACAAAAATAAGCAAATGTCCTTTTTCTAAACAACAAACAAATATCCTTTTTCAAAAGGTTTAAGAATGGAATATTATACTTTATGAAAATAAATAAGTTGTTATCTAAGATATTTACCATCTTCTACTGTCCTCTTTTGAAAAATATCACGTAACTCAACCAAACTTGTTATGATTCGTGTCCTATGAGTAGAATTTTTTATTCCTAAGCTTTTTACATCATTCTCGGTTAATTTTAAAAGCTTTTCAATTTTTGTAAATTTCTTGAAATTTCCTGCAAAAAAATTAAACAGTATTGTTATATTGTATTGTCTAGTAATGAAAGTAGCATAGCACTTGTGTATATACGTATAAAATGAAGCAAAATTACGTTTAGGATTCTGTAACTTGAAAATTATTGGGAAAGACAGTCGAAAGATTTATTTAAATTTTAATAATGGAACTTACTCTCATATTCGCTTAATTCCAAGCTTTTTAACCATTCTGATACCTCAAATTTACTTTTATTTTCATCTTGCTTTTCTTCATCTGACACTATAATTGCAGCATTTTTCCGCCGCATAGTTGAATATCGAAAATTCCATGTTATACCTGTAATAAAAAAAATTTATAAATTAAACTTTAAATAAATGACGAAGGAAAATATAAATATGTTATTAATGAAAATATATGTTATTATGAAAATATAAGGGGAAAATGGTGCAGATACTCGTATACTCGTTTGACTTTTGTTGTGACACCTTTTCGAATATTAAAATAATCTAATTAAACAGTTAAAAAAAACTTATTACACAATCCATTAATGAAATGGAAATCAAAATTATTTATTATAATAATTGTCCAATGTTGTATGCTAGTTTGTTTGTTGGTCGATTTCACTCTTAATGACATTTTTTAATGGCTCTAACATGAAAACGGCTTAACGTAGAAAGCTGAGGTCTGGGGTGTTTGACATAAATCTTTGCCGAGAAGGCTTGAGCGACTTTTTGAGTGACTTCTTCAAGTGAATTTTTGAGTGACTTTTTTGAGTGATTTTCTTGACATTTTTGACTGATTTTTTGGTAATGTTCTCATGGTAGAAAGCTGGGAATTGGAAGTGATTTTTCAAGTGATTTTGTTGAGTAACTTTCTTGATGTTGATTAATTGGTAATTATTCTTATAAGTTTAATTTTTTTCAACACTTCCGTCAAAAAAAAATTATTTAATAAAAATAGAAAAAAAAAAATAACAAGTAAGTGTCATAATACAACCCGGTGCCATATAATTTTTGTTTTCTTGGTCGCTGAAAACCAAATTTTTTTGTGGCTTTAAATGGCTTTTGAATTTTTTTATTAAAAAAACTTAAAAAAGTAACTGAGATAATTTCATTTAAAATTCCTGATTCACAAAATCACTCAAAAAAATTCCTCAAATAAGAAATATTCAAAGAGAAATTAAATATTTAAAAAATTTTTTTCCGTTATATCGTCCCGAAGAACAACTGCGTCCAAACAGTACACCAAAAAAAACGTTAAAAAATTTAAAAAAGCCACTCGAAAAATTACACTGAAAATATTGTTATTGTAGCTATAAGAAGTCATCATAAAAAAATGTTCCAAAAAATCAAATCTCTCAAAGAACACTAAAAATACTCAAAGAAAATTACTAATAAATAGCACTACTTAAGCGTTTCCATCGAAAGGTGAGCAGAGGTGTAGGGGAGAAACGTTTGTTGTAAGTCATTGTTTGAACGTTTCTAAGTCATTGAACAAAAACATTTGGTATAAAACAAAATTTTACTCTATTTTTCCAAAGTCCTAAACGAGAATAGGTACGAACCATATACCAAATTAAAACTGTGCTGAAATTGGGGAATTGATTAAGGTTGGCAGCTTTGCTAAAATTTGGGAAAGCTCCCATGTTATTTAACTTAGAAAATTAAATTTTTTTAAAAAATGAAAAATTGAAATTTTCAAATGAAAAATTCAAATTATTTTACCTTTAAGTCATATGATTCAGAAATATGAACAGATTATAACTAATGTAGTTAATAAAATGTAACAGATTATAACTAATCTAATTCATAAGAAGGCCTTATTCTAACGTTTCTGAATCATATTTAATAATGCTGAATCATATTCAATTGACTTTAAGCCCCTGTAACTGTATATATCAGTGCACTTTAATTCGAGACACCCTTTATATTTGATATAATATTAATATACATATGTATATACATTTTAAAATTTTTTTTGTATTGTGCAACAAAACTGCAAATTGCTGCAACGTGTTACCAAAATTGCTCAATATTTTAATAACTTAATTACACCTACTTGTAGTTATGTTTGCAAAATGCAGTTTAGGCAATTATATTGATATTGTAATTAAATACAATAATGATGAATTGCTATAATGTTGAAATGTCTCGTATGATGAAATGTCTTGTCATCAGGGCTGCCTAAAATTGAATTTCAAAAAATGGTACATGAAACTTACAATCATTGTACCACAGAAAAAACAACATTTTTTTGTTATTAATTTTGAGTACTCCGAAAAATCAAGTAATTCTCAATATTAAAATAAATAAACAAAATATACTTCTCTAGTAATAAATAAAATCAAACTTTTGAATATGTAAAAAGTTTATTCAAAAACAGGTGTCTAATGTTTAACAAAAAATCCACGAAATTTCCAAATAAAATCTTTTAAAAAGTTTAAATAACAGTTTAAATCAAACCATAATAAAGTTGGGTCAAACCAATGGTTTTGTAATGTAGCATTTACAAAGCCCTTGCTTCAATGGTTCACCCTTCATCAAATGATGATACTACATTATATCTACGAGAATGTACCTACTACATTATGAATATTACTTTCATCATATATGAAACTATTTCAAAAAATACCTAATTTGGGGTGAACAATGAAATAGAGAAATAGAGATCAATAATTTCCTTTGAAATAGAGCATCAATAATTGCGTAAATAAAGGAAAATAATAAATTACATAGTTTATTAAATATTTTTACGGTAAATGCCATGCCATTATATTTATTTGTATATACTATAGATAATTTGGGAAAGCTTTTGGTTTCAGAAATATAAGGTGACGAAAATTTTCTTCTAACGAAATAAACTATTTATTAGTGTTTAAAAGATGTTAAACTTTCAGTATTCTGCAACCTGAGGTTTAGAAAAACGACACCAAAAATTTGGAAAAACCGGACTTTAGATAACATTAAATTTTGAAGGCCATTTTGGTTTTTCAAAGTTCAAATATGGTATGCAACGCTAGAAGAAATGAGTCACTACTTTTTTGCGTTTTCAAAATTTGAAAAATGCTTATGGTTTCCCTGCAATAAATAGTTGAAAACTAGTATTTTTAGGGTTTGGTGGGGTATAATTTTTAAAAGGGGGAAGATATGAAATATTTTTATTCTACGGAAATAAGTTTCTACTAAGGATCTATGTGCATATAAAAGTCCAGCTTTCTATCCTTAAGGTCGTAGAAGTTCTTTAAACATGTCCACGGACGGACGAATGGACAGGTTGAAGCTTTTTTTTTTCAAATTGTTTTGGAAAAGTGTTAAAAAAGGAAAAGAATTCGATAAAAAATGAAAATGTTTGAACAATTTGTTTGGACTCTTAGAACAAAATAAAAAAACAAAGCGTTAACAAATTTAAATGAATTGTTGACGTTGGCCAATCTGAAAAACCAATGAATGGTTGTGTAAGCCGTAGCCTTTAAAGAATTTTATTTGATTTTAGTCTATTACCATTAAAATTGTGAAAACAGCATTATAATGAAATCTGTTCAAGATCGAAATGTGACAGCAAAAAATTGAGAGGTATTAGCAATTTTATTCAGGAGAAAAATATACCATGACAAAAATTTACAGGAAATTGTGTCTTGGACAAGACTTAATATAATTCTAACTTGTAGCAATTTTATTATCTCGTAACAACATGTACCAGAAAATAAAATTCGAAACACAAATTGAGTGTTTTTGGTAATTGCCATATAATATTATATAATTTGATGCTTGAAGTCTTATATGTTGTTAACTGATTGATTTTTTCGTGTGTGCATATTTTTCTTGCACTAAAAAGAGTAAATTAGGTGTTAATAAAATTACAAATTAAAAAAAAAAGTTTATTTAAAATTCAGATTTGAAAAAAAAATATAAAAAAAGTAATCAATTTTTTATTTTTTTTAATTATTAATCGGCCCTTTTTGAAATTATTAAACGACGTCGTTTTTTATAGACTCTGGGTGCAAGTGCACATTTTGCATATATAACAGAACCAGCCTTGACTATTATAATTGCTTTGATTTTGTTATAATCGCTTTTACTACTATAATTACTTTGTATTTTGTTATAATTATTTTGAAATTGATAACAGTTATCTATTCATTTAGAGTTTTTAATAACAATGTATACGTTAACCTATAACATTAGATAAAAACACCTATAATAATGCCAGCGCCAGTATTTACAGTAGGTATTTAATGGCGTTTCCAGAGCCATAAACGAAATGGATTGTATGTTTGAAATAATTAATGTAGATATGGTATTTTGAAAATAACGTATAGGTTTTTTAATTTTTTTTATAAATTTGATAACAGTTTTGTTTTCATACTCTGACGTATGCGATGGCATTTATTATTGTGAATGAATGGAATTAAATTTTAAAATAATTACACATACGTATCACACTTATTCCATAAATATGTCGCGCAAGCTTTACTTTACCTACCATATTTATTTATAGTATTTATAAGTACATGTATCTATTCAAAAACGTGTTTAATTTATACCAGTATTTCACAAATGTGAAAAAAATTATTATTTACATATTTTTTATTCGTTATATTTTAAAAGTATTCATTATGAAATTCTTTGTTTATGATTTTGCATATTGATTTAGATTATCTCAGGTCAGTGACCAAAGATACCCACTAAAAAAAAAAGAAATGTTCTGTTAGAAGAAAAAATGGTCAATTTAAGTTTAAATTTAATATATGTATACAGTTTTAGTTATGGCTTTTTGGTACTAAATTTTTGTCATTAAATAAACCTCGACGAGTTTTCAATTAGATAGTTTTCTTATTTACTGTATTCTAAAAAAAAATGCTAAAATAATAACACCAATTTAACTTGTGAAACTTCAACAAGCATTTAAATAAAAATATCTTATTTATTTATTGGACAAATATTCACACGAATAAATTATAGAAAATAATAAAAAAAATTAACATAAAACTACTGATCAGATTTAATTGCTGAAATGTTTACTAAAGCTTTGATAAGTAACGCGTATATGACAATATGACGTAATATTTTTGTTTTTGAAAGAAAAAGTTCGTTTTAACTCATTTTCAAAACAAAAATTAAAAAATGCGCCAATTAATTTCTTTTTGACCAAACGTTCGTCTGTCCGATTTTTCCCCGGAATTATAATCAAACAACTTTTTCAAATCGACCATTATTAATAAATTTTTTATCTAATTTACGATATAATTTTTATTATAAAACGTAAGTCAAAAGCTTTAAAATTTTAACAGGTTATATCTAAAAACAACTAATATTTTACTTTACTTTCTGTCTTCTCCTTTAATCACAAAATATATTTAAATTCTATTAAAAAAGAATGGTAAGGGAAAATTTTTCTATCGAAAATATATATGTATCTTATTTTTTAACTAAAATATATTTAATTTAATTCTTACTGCCCGAATTGCATTTTACAAGGAGGTTATTTACTTATTATTACAGCACCAAATTTCAGATATCGTGTTTTCGGTAGAAACGGATTAGTCCCCATAGTAGTAAGCCTAAATAAACTATTTTTATAGAGATCGGTCTCTCTGTCTGTCTGACATTAACATTTTTGTTTGAAAAAAATAAAAGTATTAGTCAGATAAAACACAAAAACAGCTTTATTCTTCAAGCTTTTTATGACAAACAAAAAAACCTGATGTAGTCAGTACAGAATCCGCAATCCCGCAATCGAAATCGGTTCAGCCGAACTTAAGATATACGCGTTCACACACAGACCAATAGACAGATAGGCAGACAGACTGACATCTCTCAAAAAATTATTTATTTAGAAGTGAGTTCCATTGACAATTGAGTTCCCACCGAAAACTCCACATTCGAAATTTGGTGCCATCACATAACCTCCCTTATAACATAATAGCAAACAACCATAGCAGTTTCAGTTAATCGGAAAAACTTAAAAGTATTAAATATTAAGTAAATTGAGATCCACTGGAAATAGCACAGATGTCTCGTTGTCGGCTATAGTTAATTTGCAGCGTCTCAGTTAATCGGAAAAACTTAAAAGTATTAAATATTAAGTAGATTGAGATCCACTGGAAATAACACAGATGTCTCGTTGTCGGCTATAGTTAATTTGCAGCGTCTCGGTTTCGGCAGTAATTATTTAGTACTCCCTTATATGTGTAAAGAAAAAGGTATTTTAATTAAAGTATGAGGCTAAAAAAACCATTGTATAAAATGCGTCACTGTATAACAGATTCTATATGGAATAAAATGGGTTTCTAAGTAAATCATTTAATTAATTTCTCCTTTTTAAACTTTCACTACTAAAATTTTAGTATAAAAGCATTTGTTTTCCACATAAATATTGAAGTAAAATGTGCTCTCTTACGAATCATTTGCTGGGCCCTTTTTTTTATTCATTTCGTTTTCTAATTGTAAATTTGTCAACTTTTAAATTGTGTTTGTCGTTTAACAATTAATACGCTTGTTTTTTATTGTTAGAGCAAAAATACATATACGTTACAGTAATAATTATCAGATATCAGTATATTTTAAGTATAATACTGAAGTGTAAGTATTTATCAATCTTTCTGTGAAGTAAATAAATATTCTTTATAAAATTTTCGATGGTGACAGTGACAACATCATAAACCTTCTAGTATAGTAATAAGTTTTATTTTGTGTAGTACAATAAGTATAGTATAGCACATGTAATGGAAATTAAGCTACTACTAAATTTTGACATTAGATTTGATGTAAGTAACAATGCTACTCATACAACACGTTTTCATTACATTTTTAAGCACTTCAATCTCAAAATTCTTTAATAAATAAACAAAAAAAATTTTTTTTTTTGATTCTTGGCAATATGCCTTACTAAATCAATTGAATTACTATAAAAATGGCGATTACTTAATATTGTGGCATTCCAAAATTCAAAAAGGATTATACTTATTATCGTATAATAAATTATTATCATACTATCACAGCAATATCGTTTAATTTTTTTATTAAGCAAATATGTACACGTATTTTGGGCGCGAACGTTGTTCTAGCATGTCAGGTGTAAAAGTATTCGAAGTAGTCATCGACAATATTTTATTATATGATATGCTGGTTTTATATACATACAGTAAACAAAAAATTAAAGCAAAACTTGTTTAGTAAACAAAAATTTAAATAATTTCGTTGTATGCTTTTTATTTGTCGTAATTGAGTTTAAAAAAAAAGCAATTTTTTAATAAAATTCTTATCTTAATTTTTTATTTTTTTTCCATATACATATTTCATTTTTGTTTAAACATATTAAAAATATAATACACAATCAAATATTAATTTAGATGTATTAGTGAAATTAATGAAGTGGCATAAGTATGTATTTAAATATTTAAAGTTTGAAATATTTATTGTATGATTTTCAAAATAAAGAAGGAAATATCGGAAATATTGCTGTTATAAGTCTTTTATTTATAATATTGAGCTATATGTACATACATTCTTTAAAATATTTGAGAGAAAAGCATGTCATGCATCAAATCTGAGAAGATTTTTACTTTCATTCGTTCTGATTTTGATTTTTCTGCGAATTTCGCTATATTTTTCTAATCAGCAATATTGTAAGTTGCTATATACTTTTATGAATAAAAGAAAAGGAAAGAATGAGAGTTCTTTTCACTAAATTTTTACGTCTATTTTTTATTTGTATTGAAGTATGTGTTAATATAAAGTCAAATAACAATTTAATTGCAGAATAAAATGTTTATTTTTGGCACATTTGGTCAGAAAATTAATGCATGCAGCTCACGATTCCTATACTCGTTGATCTTGCATACTCGTATGAATGATATCATAACTTTCAATACGTCTTACCGTAACTATTTTATTATTTAATTTTATTAGGAATTATTGTTATTGGAATATATGTAAATTATTTTATTAAATGTAACTGATCATTTATTAAAGTCTATTGAAATGATCAGCTCCAATTACTAATGTCTTTTACATCGATAATTACACTTACTTTGAGTTCTTCGCTTTTTCAATTTACTTCCAGGATTTTGTTTTGCAAATTTATTTCCCATATTTGCAAATGAACATGCATACAAATTTATTTATAAGTTTGTTGATCTTTTAATATAACAAAAAACATCAAACGAGTGGAATTCGATTTATATTTAATTTGAATAAATTTTACATTAAAAGAATTTTTACTTAATTAACATTTTAAATACTAAAGCATAATATTTGTAAAAATAAACTTATAACTTTGATTCATTTTGTATGTGTATGCATACATGTATTTGTATCTTATGGTTACTTAATTTAATTAATTAATATAATTTTAAAATAAAAATTTTTTAAACCAAACTTTTGTTTTTAAATGAAACCTTTTTGTAATATTTATGTTAATTTAATTTATTTTTGAACTTTAATTAGCATTTTATCACTAAACACAGATAATTTATTTTTATTATACACATTATTTTTATTATTTTCACATGAAGGACAGCCGAACCTAGTAAAAACAATGAAATGTGTAAAAGTTAATTTTTTATTTTATTTTCATTTATTGTAGAGCGAATAATCGCAATTTAATGATTTTCTGTAATAACGATCAAATTTCATTTACTGTTATAGTATAAATGAAAAAAATTTTATTGTGGAATTTTTCCCAATCTTATTTTTCTTGAAATATTTAAAGTACCCAAATTGCTTTAAAACGAGAAATTTTTTTTTTTCTTAATTTTTTTTGTAAATAAATACTAATGTGATTACTTAAGCAGATATTTGTAAGTATAGCTACATATGTATTTAAAAAAAGTAATTCTTAACCTTGCTGGTGCTACATGAAAAAAGACAAAAAAAAAAACGAATAACTATACCGGAATTATTGGTAATACACCGCAAAACCTAATGAATATTAATAATGCACTCAAAAACTTGTGAATAATAAAATCGTCTTTAAAAGATTATAAATGAAAAAAAAATCGCTTATTATTTTGCTGTGAGAGACACAAGATTGCGCAAATAACTGAGTTAGTATTATAATAGAATGGAAAAAATTATATGTACATAAATTCTTCGCTTTTTTTAAAAGTTCGTTAATTAAACGTCATATCAGCGCGATATTAATTTTTTTTCTCTTTTAGTAAATTTTTTGCTTATTTTGAACTTAGTTGAGATAAGACAGCCAAAAGGTGTAATTTGATGTCAACTTATAAGAATAAACATGCGATTATAATAGTGTACATAATAATTTTCAACACACGCACGTATAAGTATTAATAAATATACTTACATATGAACATATGTATATTGTTGTGAATATACTGATCGCAAGCATTGAAATTAGATGTGTTTTGTGCGGATAACGATTATCGTTTTAAGTAGTTTTTAGTTATTTAAGTTAAAAGAGCTAATTCAGTTATTCAAATATATTTTCTTAAATGTGTATATACATACATATTTATAGTTAAATATATTTTTGTTTACATTTTGTTGTTTACATAAAAGTAAAAAATAACAATAAATAAGTGACGCGGAATTATTAATTTTCGAAATCAGGGGAGTTATGTATACACGGATACATTTATGATTGTTGTTATTATTACATATTATATTATTAGCTTAGTAATTAGTATTACTAAAATAATAATGAAAATATATCGTAAATGAAGTATTAGTAAATGTTGTGTATTGAAAATAAAAGAATAAGAAGAATAAGAAAATTGTAGTAATTAGTAATTTAGATTTGATTTTATTTATTTAATAGTTAAGCTTTTTAATATAATGAAGTAGGGCGTATGATTATGTCACGATTTATGATGGATAAAGATATGATTAAATTATTACGATTGTCAGTAATTAATATTAATGTAGTCAGATTTAAGTATATAATAAAACAAGAAGGTGTATATGAGTATTTTGATTTAAAATTTTGTTAACAAAATCTGATGCGATCAGCAACAAAAGCACTTGTTTTGGCGAACAACATTATGAAAATACTTCTTTCAAATTTTAAGGGTGTTATTCATTTTATAGTTAACATACAAAATTTCAAGTTACCCTTTTCAATATTTTCTTTAGAATAATTAAAATTTAAAAGTTTGCCCATAATAACCATGGCATATCCGTGTCGTGGCTAAAGTAAAAATTGTTTGCAATATGTGGTCGGTAAAAAGATAGACAATAAAAATCAGAGTAAACTTAGGTTCGAGTTCCCTGTCAATTAAAGATTACTTGTAAATTGGAAATAATCAATTGACTTATAAAGGTTTAGGTTCAGAAAATTTGAAAATTTTTACTCTATATCACAAGCAGTTCTTACTATTTTATTTTTATATTATTTTGTATTCTAAAATATATTTAACACTATCTGAAATTGGAATTTATTAACAGCAGTAAAACTTTTTACTGTTTCAAAACTCAACTCTCTGACACTAGTTCAAATGTTTTTTAAGTGTTATATGAAGGCTAAGAATATTTGTCATGCAACTACAAACAACTGTTTACATTTGAATAAAATTTTTGTTGTGCTATAGAGAAATAGGAGATATGAAATAGCACCACTCTATTGCTTTTAAAACTTTTGCAGCATGAGTAAGTTATTTGCCAAATTTTTTTAGAATAGTTGCACTATTACAAAATATGTTATGCGACAATTGATATTGTAGTTCTTTTGGGTTTGTATGGTATAGGAGTTGTATGGCAGCTGTTGGGTTAGCTTATACAAATGCAACAATTTTATTGGAATTATATCGGAATTTAATCGGAAGTAGTATAAATTATATTTTAATTATAGTCTGGATAAGTTTACCAGACTTAGTATAAGTAACATCTAAATTATTTTAAAAATATTTTTGGAGTTGTTAATTATATAAATCTGACTACATCTTATTGAACCAAGATCACCGAATCCATAACTTAAATAGAATTCTTAAAGTAACAACTTTAATAAGAGTAATGTGTAAAAACTATGTTGCAGAGACAGATTGACGGAAGGACATAAAGTAAAAAACAAGGGTACAAAATTCAATGCTTAACTGGAAAATTTACATATGCCTATATTTCAGATGTCTATTTCTTAGGTTACAAAAAGTGTGGTGAACTTATTATATCCATCGAACATTTGTTCGTACGGGTATAGAATATGAAAAAAAATCTATTTCATACTCTTGGGAGAAAAAAAGAAATTTCAAAGTGGTCAAATTGGTGAGATAAATAAATAATCATTATTTTAATGAAAAGACATTTACTTTGAGATGTGATACTTTGAAAGGGGAAAAAGTTTATTGCACTTTCTTCTGATGAAGTAACCTAAGGGAAAAATGATTTTAAACGAACTTACGGTAGCCGACAACTTCAGCAGATATTTTGTCAACGTAATGTTAGGCTATTTTGTTTCGCATTGAAAGGAACATTGAAGAGTGGCAAGCAGGATCCATTTTTAATAATTTCAGCTTTCTATCTCAAAGGATTTAGAAGTTTCGTCAGCAGACAAATTAACAGAAGGGCAAATAAACGAAGTGAAACTAACAAGAACTTTTTTTCAAGTTTGTTGGGAAAGGGCTAGAAAGGAACCATTGAAATGCATATAGTTTTCTTTTTTTTTAATAATCTTGCATAAATTTAGGAAAATACAAAATAATGTTTTCAAAAAATTTAGGCTTATATAAAATTTGAATTGTGTTACCAATTAATTTAATTAAGGCATAATGGTATAATTTTGGATAAGAAGACGATCATTATTACATATTTGATTTCATAGAAGTTCAACAAAGCTTATAGTGTCGATGAAATATAGCTGATTGAAAATGGTTTTTTTTTTCAAACTTTGAGAGAGGAATTGCAAAAAAAACTCGTTCTAGTAAAACAACATATTTATTGAAATCTATAAACAGTTAATCTATAATAGTTAACTTTGACGGATTTTTCAATGACTTAAATTTTTTTTTTGTAAAATAAACAATTTTTGACAAAAAATTGTAAAAAAACATACAAAAAATAATAAAATTTACAAAAATATTGAAATGAAATTATTAATTTACAACAATATGTAGACAGATAGACGAACAAAAATATAATGTAGAAGATTTTCATGTGCTGCTTCAAAACTTTAACTATTGCTACTTGAAATTTTTACCAATTATATTAAGTCTATATTTTTTTTTTATTATTCCAGGCAACGTAATATACAATATGTGCATTATGTAAATTATTCTTGATTCATGAAAAGTGGAAAACTCTATTTACTAATTTCGGGATAGAAGTTCCTTTTCATGCAAAATTACTTTCACATTCATATAAAATATGTATATAGTACATTAAATGAAAAGAAACAGTTTTAAAAAACAATAAAAGGTTTGATATTGTTACTTTAAATACAATATTTTCGTTTAATTTTTATATATCTTTTGTTTTTACGAAAACTTTTAATTTTAATAATGGACTAAAAATTATTTTCACATACATATGTATGTATATTATGCACATATATTATGTATATACAATATGAAATTGAAATTTAATTGAATTTCGCTGTTTATTTTATTGAAATAGGTCAATTTTAAATTTTACAATCTGTATGTGCAATATAATGTTGCCTTTGAACTTGCATACATATAGATACAGCTTATAATATTGTATAATGGTATATATATGTGAATATTATATATATTTAATAAATATAATACAAAATATTCATATTTTATTTTTAAATATAAAAGAAAAATGAAAAAAATGAGAGGTTATGACGATAAATCCTTGGAAAAATGGAAGTATACGAATGCGCTACATTTAAATAATTCAAATAGTGTAATTAAATGTGTATATATGTATGCATATAGATATATTTACATAATCATTTATAGTGGTATTAACAGCAAAATATTGAAAAACGTTCTGGTAATTTTACTCACTTGTATTCGCTTGTTCTCCTGAAACTAATAATAGTTACGATATTGTATGTAATTTTATGTGTTTCAATACATGTTTTAATATGATTAATCATTTTTAAAGATTTTTCATGACGTGTTTTATCCCTTCGCAATGCTTAGCATTTGACTTAGTTTAAGAATGCTTAATTACAAAATCAGGTGTAAAACCGGTGTTTACTTGGAATAAATGGCGGTCAAATAATTTAAACATATTGCGATATAAACTAAATAT